GGAACCTTTCCAACATACCGCTTAAGAGTAAACCAATTTCTCCATATGAAATCTTCTCAAGATTTCATCTATATAAATCGGGATGAGTTAAGCAATCTTTTAGATCTACCTCTATAGATCAAGTTGCTTATCCCACATCGTTTAGGAATAAATCCTTTAACAACCATTATTTCAACGATTGAAACATAGCGATGTCGTTTTAGGAATACGAAAAATGCTCCCACTATCTTCTTGTAAACACACAATTCATTTTCAAATTTGATAAAATCAAACCTCCAAGAGACTTTTCTTAACCTATAGTCACGATATGCAACTGTTGCAAACAAAACCCGAATGGACTTAAACAAGGCTACAGGAGAAATATTTCACCAAGGTCAACATTTAACCTTTGGTTCTAGCATTGCTATGTATATATGGATATTCATGTCCATATCGACCTTTTCTTTTGTAAACTATTTACAAAAGCTTATGGGCTTTATTCCACTAGGAGGCTTGACCAAGGTCCAAACCTTGTTCACTTGCGTCGAGGGGTTTCATAGAAAAAGATCTTCGAGAAAACCTCAATGTCCAAAATAATTCAAGTAACTTCACCATATTTACATTATAAATGGAGAAAAGCAGATTGACAAGAAACCACTCATCCACAAGCATTATATTTTGATCACAAACTACTTCATGGCTAGCCCACCCAACACGACAAAAGGGGGATACAGCAGGCCAAAATAACTAAACTATTAAGCAAACCAATCAACTTTCATTTACAGGTTATAAAGAACTAAACACAATTTCTGAGACTTACTACACATGATTTTCACATTCCATTTCAAGAAACTTTTGTATCTATTTGAGATTACTTCTATAATTTGAAGCTTCTAATGTCATGATGATTTTGGGTTGTTCAAGTTTTCTCCTCTCTTCTGCTTGGGCAAAGTCAAGCAAGATATAGTTTTGGCTGATACCACCTTCCTTACTAGTAATGTCCACCTAGCATCCGCTCCTCTTCCATCTTGTTGCACTTTCAATTTGAACTGCCTGCAGTATCAACATTCCAAGAGGAGAAAAGATTAAGATACTCTACTGTAACTGATAAACAAAAATAAATTCATTATTCTTCTATATATCCTGAAGAAAAATGCAATTACAAGTATACATTATGAATCATATCTAAATAATGATAAAGTTATTGAAAAGAAAGGTTTTTGAAATTAGGAGAAGATTTATCAAAGCCCACAGCCAAAATTTTACAAGGGAGCTTTATTATCAAAAGCACATTGTAACATGTAAATCAGATGAGATATCTAAAGGTTAGACAGATCATATTGATAGCGAAAGCAATACCTGCCCAACACTTTTTACGCAGAATACATCAACTCAATTCCTTTCACTTTTGAGGAAGAAGTCTAGAGAAGAAATAGTTGGTTATTAATGCAAGCTAGACCATCAGTCTGCTAAATACAAATTTAGGAAACGTTATAAACTTTGCTTTTTAGTTCCCATTCCCCAGATTTGCTGATTCTAATGCTCCAACTCGTACATCCATTCTATCCCCTCAATTTGAGCAACAGTAAGTGGATAAATATAGTAGCTATAACAACTTTTACCCCATTTCAACTATCGCCAACTATTCAGTATATAATTGGTCTTGGATCTTAAATATCTTGTAGAGCTTTTAGAAGTGGAACTAATCCATTATATGAACAAAGACAGACGTATCAGGATTCCAGAGAACAAATGAAGATAACTTGACCCTGAATGACAGATAGATTCATATTTGCCGTAATAGAGAAGCTAACGAACCTAATCAGATCTCACCAGGAGGACAAGTGATATCCATGTATCATGCAATGAACACATTGTGGGATACAGAAAATATGGGACAGGACTTATTTCCATCCAAATGGAATGTTGACATCTTCAATATGATTCAGCGATGACAGTGTCTTGAATTTTCTGGTAACATCTCATATATATGGTTACAATGCACACTCGATGAATCACTGGATTCATACGGTAGGCTAACTGATTCGATATGCTTGTGCCTGAGAAAATGTTTGATGCCAACAGTATGCTTTTTATATTTTAATTACATAGTTAAGTACGTCAAATACTAGTGATAACAATGATCATTCTCAAATTCTATTTTATTCATATTTTTTGAATAGTAATAAACGCATAATTCGCAAGCATCCTGAACGAATAACTAAATAAAAAACAACAATATCTAGAAAGATTCTTTTACCTGCACAGGGGCACTCTGCATTCATCAGGATAGTCGCAAATTGAGGAGTGCAATCTAAGGAGCTGCCACATTCGCTTACAGCGCAAACAACCACCGTTAACCCTCTTATTACAAGCTGCAAAATGCTTAATCAGGAGTTGAAGACCATGGCAGGTCGAAAACTTGCTACATGGATCCATATTCTTGCTAGGATCCATATCGTAAGGCCCCACACTTGTGCACCCTTCTGTGCATATGTGCTCCAGACAATCCATCGCTTCACTTAGCTGTAAATACAATCCCTGCTCCTGTCTGTGCCTCCTTATCCTCTTTTTCCTCTATTACAAACAAATTCAAACCATTATATTTATCACAATTCACAAACTGTGTCAAGTATGGGAAAGGAATCATATAAACAACCACAAATCTATAAAGAATATTATTTAGTTTATTTCTGTTCTTGACAACATTCATAGTTCACTGTCATTTTCGACGAGACTTGAAGTTTCCTCTACTTGAAATGATAAATGAACTAACTACGGGTCGTGTTTAGGTGCATACAGATTCTGCTTCATCCATGAATTGTAAGATTTGGAGTTCAACAGAAGGATCATGATTTTGCAGAAACTTCCACCCTTCTGTCTGTTCAACAGCCTTGAAATTATTAGACAACAACTTCATACACCTGAGGTAAAGATCAGGTGCATCGCAGAGTCGAGCAAGCTGTAGTACATCCACCACGTTCTCAATCGTCAACCCCTCCGACAACGCTCTTGTACATCTCTGCTTCAACAGTGGTACCAAGTATACGTGCGATAACGCCAGCAGGTGAATCCCGTACTTCTCCAGCTGCTTCTCACTACACCTGAGCAAACCAAAATTGAGTCTTTTACGTTACAAAATTTTATAGCAATAATCTTGAAATTGTTATAGTTCACCACCAACCAAAATAATAAGTGCCTAAAAACTAAAATTAAATTAAATTAAAAAAAAAACAAAAGAAATAATTATGCTCACTCGAACGAATATAGAAATTGCATGAACACAGAAACGGCGTCCGGAGGAACGCCAAGAATCGGAATTTTCTGCTTGGAGATCCGGTGCTTTTGCGGTCTCTTAATCATGCTACCCAGCACCGGCGATGCTGAAGCCTACAAAGAAAAATAAATAAATATTAACCAAAAAATTGCATTCAAATAATCCAATTAGGAACTTATTTTTTGAAAATTTGTCGGTGGACGAATGCATTCGATTTCGAAGAAAAATTAGATAATAGACAGGATATTGAATAACATATTCAATATTTGTGAGACTGAGAATAGAAAACGATGAGAACAAACATCATACCAGGACGCTAGAATGAGCAGGAATGCGTAGGCCACCAGAAGTAATAATTTGAACGTCGAGTTCCGGCATTTCGCCGCCTTCGCCGGGGCATGAAAACGGAGAATTTGCTTTCACTTTCATTTCCGCGGCGATGCTTACCATAATTACGCTACCTTCCAAATGGAATTCAAAATTATTTTCCGGCGATAATTATGAACGCGCGAAAGGCGTGAGATATGGATAAACAGAATTCTTATGAGAGAATAATTTGGAAATCCGAAATCTGTTCCTGAATTTATAGGCATTGTCCCTCAAATGTATGAGGTGTAAATCAGATCCCAAAATCATTTTTTAGATATTTTGGATAGGACGCATGCCTGAATTTCTTTTCAGTGCACTGGTACAGATTAGAGACTTTAATCATTTCGGCTAATGCTGGGTGATAATTTTAATTTCCGTTTGATTAAAATGACGGAATTGAATTGAATTGAATTGAAAACGAATTTTGGAAAATTGAATTGTTTAGAAATTGTTTTATTGGAAATTGTAAATTATTATCTTTGATTGGTATAATTTTTCACGTGAAAATGTTGAAGTAAAAGTGTTTTTTGCTGTTCATTTAGCTTTGTTTTACATCAAAATTGTCAATTAAAGGGATATATTTTATTGGTATTGGGGATAAAATTTGTTTCCATTACCAAAAAATAAAAAAAATTCTAAAAATTCTAGAAAATTATCTATCTTTTGGTGTTCGTTTAACTCTAGTTTATATGGAAATTGCTAATTAAAGGGAATTTTTTTTTACAATAATTCTTATAATTTGTTTTCATTGCAAAAAAAAAAAATAATACTAATAATAAAATAAAAAAAATTTAGAAAATGTCTCGGTGGCATCCAAACCAGAAAATGAATTCCATGGAAAATTTTGTGGTATCAAACATAAAAAAGGTGGAAAATGTTCAAATATTTTTCAAGTTCCATGGAATTCCTTTCCTATCAAACATGGTCTTAGTGACATTGAATTATACTTTTAAAATAAATACAAGGGCTCGTGCTTGTTTGTGTGCCAACATTTGTGTGTAATGTATTATAAAATAGTGATTGATGTCGAAATGTGTGATTAAAAAAGAAAAAAAAATTGATTTACGTGTAATACTATTTTATAAAGAATGTGTGATTAAAAATGAGTACTATAGAAAAAATAATTTGATAAAATGTGGAAGAAATGAAAACAAATAAAGCCTTAATAAAAACTATAATATGTTGACACGTAGACTGATTTGGCTAATTAAACAAAATTTAGCCACTTTTTGATAAAAATTATAAATTATTTATGAATAGTTAAATTTTATTTTCAATCATTTTAATTGATTAACAAATATTATTCATTTATCCATCACTCATTTATATCTATTTATACATTAAATCGTTTATAAATTCTTTCCAATAGAAGCTTAATATGTCGAGGATAGAAAACTTTTAAAGCTTAATATATTGAGGTTAGAAATTTTTAAAATTTAGGCTTGATTGCAAGGACAAGTCAACCACGATACATATCTGTGATGAATTTGAAGTACGCCATTAGCACAATAGGCCAATCGTGAGTTTGAGAGTAGTGGAAATTACGGGAAACCCTACTATAAAAATCTACATTTCAAACATTTGATCCAAAGTTTGTATATTCACAAATCAGATATTATTTTAATTATTATAAAACAATAATATTAAAAATATTATTATGAATCATTATTTTCAAACCCTAAAATCATTTTTGTCTCCCAACTCCTCTCGTCTCCTCTCAACTCCATTCTCGCTGCCACCATCGGTCTCTCTTCCTCAGATCGTGGTCGTTGCTAGGTTGTCACATCACCAGAGTGAATCAACAATGACCATGGTGTGTCGCACTGCTCGATGTGAATGTTGTAAGGCGACTTCATCCCTGTCGCTACTGTTGGTGGACTGGAGTGTTGATTTAACGTATTAAGGCGTGGTGTTGGTTACCCATTGGCAAGAGGTGGAAGATTTGGTAGAGGCGGTGTATGGTAATGGTGGTGGCGAAGTCGGAATGGTAGGTTGGGAAGCGCAGCTGCTGCTCGTTAGAGAAATTTGGTGTTGGTATTGACACTGGCAGGCGGTGGTATATAGATTTAGATTCGGCTGCAATTAGTGGTGTGTGATGCGATGGTTTTTTATGATTGTGGTGGTTGTGGAGTGATTTTGGGTGGTGGTGGCGTTGTTAGGCTATGTTGGTGGTGGTTGTGGACGTGTGGGCGTGTGTATTGTGGCGGTGATGTGAGGGTGTTACTATAGGGTGATGGTGTGGGGGTGTGTGTGATGTGTGGCGGTGATGTGTCGATTTTGTTTGAGATAGTGGTATTGTTGTAGGGTGATGGTGGTGGTTCTGGTTATGACAATGGCATTGGTGATGTTGGAGCCAGTGGTTGTTTGGTGGTGGTCATAGATTTGATTGTGACCATTAAATTGGTTAATCTGTAACCAACAAGAAATATAAATTGTGATAAAAAAATAATGTGTGACCCAAAAAATTAATAATTTGAAACTATTTAATAAGTTGTAACTCATAATATTTGTGATATGTGACCTATAAATAAATTCTGAAGTATAAATTTTTTATATGCGATGGACGAATAAATTATGACCTACAAAAGTTTTGAATTGCGACCATAAAATAATTTGTGACATTAAAAAATTCTAGTTTGTGACTGAAACTAATTAAATTGTGAATTTGTGACCAAATTTTATAGATTCGACCTTAATATATTTAATTAATTAATTAAATTATAAATAAAATTTAATGAATATCTTATTTTTGAAATTTCAAACTTATATTCTTACTTTTGAAATTGGTAATAGTTATTTTCTTAGTTATGAAATTTTCCGTTGAGAGTATGATACCTTTCAATATGTATCAATTGTATAGTCTCTTTCGAATTTCAATCGGGCCCATTATTAATTTTAACTGGGCCATTTAGACTTAAATCTAGGTTTAACACTAGGGACAAGTCAAATCACGACAAGGCTCATCATGAATTTTAATTAGGATATTTAACCCTTGTTTGATTTAGTTAGTAATAAGATTTTTAGTATATTTTTAGAAAAGCAGATAAAATGTATGATTAAAATATTGATAAAGTTGTGAGACTTATGAAATATGTAATTGTAAATGAGTTTGCAAAAAAAAAATGAATTTTAAAAAATAAGATCAAAATAGTTATTAAACCCGACCTAACCATCGACTCAGTCAAGGCACTGGTTCTCGAGTTATTGGTTGAACCGATGGATTAGTGGCTAGACCAGTGGGTCAATGTTTTACTAACTGAAATTAAAGAATTAATAGACCTGTTCCGACCAAAATGGGAATGGGCTAGGGTACGTTTCATGGTTGTTTGACTAGCAGCAATGATACTTATAGCTTCCTTGTTCGTAGACAAAGCGAATTCATATTTCAGAAAAATGGTTCATTATTCACTAATTTGACTCATTCACATCCAGATCATGAATGTATAGTTCCATTTCTCAATCTTTTTGACTTGCTCATACGGAACCAAGGTCAAAATGATTGAAAAAATTAGAGGCGAGCGGACGCTAAGATGGAATAGACCCGCTAATATGCCCAATGTCCCTGCTGCAATATGATGAGAATTATAATTATATAATATTTTTTAAAGTATAAAGTTTTTCTTTTAGATAAAACAAATAAATAAATAAATTAAATTATCTGTTTTGTTCAATATTCAATTCATTTTAATGCAAATAGTTACTATAATTTTATTTTTTTTTGATATTCAGGTATCCACCTTACAGTGACTAAATCTTGGAGTCTACACCTTAATCCCTCAAGCTGCAAACAGGTTAAACCGCGGGTTGTGTCCCAAACTGACCAGTGCTGAAGAGCTCCTCCAACTGATCTGCCAAAGTGCCAAGCAAGTCGTTTCCCGTCTTTGCACCTTGCCTTCCAGGATAAATCCTGCCTTCCAGGAGAATATCTGCCATCCAAGAGCCTTCCAGGAATCGAACTCACGACCTCTGATCTGCCAGCTTTGAAGCGCCCTCATCTTTGCCAATTGGGATGTGCCCTGAGGGGTAGTTACTATAATTTTTTAAAAATAGTTTTAGCAAACTATAAATAATTTGCATCTACATAATTATTGCAAACACATAACAATAAACAATTGATCTCTAGTAATTAGGTAGTACTCACTTAAGCTAGAGGTCTAAGGTTCAAGTCTTTTGAGAACAAAAAACTTATGGACAAATTTTTAAATCTTGGTCAAACTCGTCAAACAACCAAGTTAATATAAAAATCGTAGGTTATCTTGGTCAACTCGACGGGCAACTCAGTTTTTTGACCGAGTCAATTGCATTTCTATGAAAATATTCTACTCGGTCTAGTCAGGAGCTCGAGTCACCGATTTTTCAGCTCAATCGGCCAATCCTCGCCAAGTTTTATAACCATGGATCAAATAGAGACATAATATATCAGGTCAATCGCGAGCCCAAACGATTAAATACATTTCAGTCCTTGTTTGACAACCATTATTGTTAAAACTGTTTTTATAACATAACCATTTTAGACCACACACTCCCACAATAAAATAATCTATACATAAATTCAAAATTTTTTCTACTTTTTAAGCCTGTTTATCTAAAATCACTATTCAAAATATTATTTTTTCCAAATAATGATTGTTAAACAGGAGCTTGACGTGTCAAGGTTGGAAACTTCTTCAAATTTAGGTCTCTTTGTAGAGACAACTCAAGATAAAATTTAACAGAGAGGTGCTGTTGCCTGCTTGCCAGGCTTAAAGTTAAGCCTGGGCATATAGTTTTGTTCAATTTAACAACTCATGATGACAATACAACAAAGACACGACCCATGATGAGATTTAACTAGGCAATTAACATAGTAGATTAATCATGAACGTAGATAGGGATGACAATGGACCGAGCCGGCATCATGAATGTAGATAGGGATGGCTCGGCTAGGCCCTTTAATCCACGAGCTCTGCTCGGGCTCGTGGCGAGCCGAGCTCGGCTCGTTGCTCGTGGGTCGAGCCAAGCAGAGCCCACGAGCCGCTCGCGAGCTCGGGTTTTTTTTTAATTTTTTTTTTTTGCACCTTTTTTTAAAAAATTTCAATTTTTTGGACAAGCCCACGAGCTCGTCAAAATGGCTCGTGGGCACGACGAGCCGAGCAAGCTCGGCTCGGGCTCGGGTTCGAGCTCGTCAAAGCCACCCACGAGTCGAGTTTTAACGAGCTGAGCGGTCGAGCCGACGAGCTGACCGGCCTGTTTGACATCCCTAA